CAAATACTTCACAGGCTGAAGTTAAGCTTTGGATTCTGAGACTATACGGACACACAGAATTTCTGTTCTCAAAGATTAAATCAATCAGTATTAGCATAAATTTTAAGAAATGCTAAAATAATAAAAAACAAGAAATATCCATGCATCTTTTAGTTACATGCAACTTTTAAGGAAAAGAGAAAAAGCCTTTGACCTCACATTTTCAAGGCTTTCTCTCACAAACAGAAACATTTTGGCTGATAATCTTAAATCTTTCTTATGGTGACTCTTGGATTCATTTTTTAACTAACTCTTCTTATAAGACAAATAGCTCTGAATATATTAGTGTGGAAGATACCTTAATTTCCTTGAAGCTAAAAGATTGCTCAAAATGACTCTAATATTTCTAAGAAGCATGTATAGCAGTAATATTTTCAAAAAATATAGACCTTAACTAGCCTTCCTAAAAATTTCTGTGTTACTAGAAATTAAGTGGGGCAAATTAGCAGATGACATGCCAAATGGAGTGATAATCCATTGGCCTAACTCACCCAGCAAGTACAGAGGTGGGGCAATTATAAGTGTAAAGGTTAAAGATGTCCCACCCTCTGATTACCTGCACCTGAACCTTCTTGACAGGCAGAGATATTAATTCTGTGATTAATAATTAGCAAAAGGCTTAATGTGCAAAATTCCCTGGGAGAGATAGCACATTGGTTTTTGTTCACAATAAGAAGAAAGTAGCTGAGGGAGAATAAACTCTTATAATCGGGTTTTGGTAGGAAATAGAGCAGAGAGGAGTAACCAGTGACTACAGTTGAGAGGGCAGATGCAGTGGGGAACCAGGATTGCATCTGCTCTATGACTGGGTCTTGGTATTCCCTGATTGCATGTTCTATACCACAGTGATTTATAAGCCAAAAGCAGAGCTTTCCATCTTAATCTCCAGTCTAATAGGGCAAACAAGTAAATACTCCTAAAAATACTGTCTATATAATTGACATTATTTTAGGTATTTTTTAGGAGTGAAAATAGTGTTTTACAAGAGCAGTTATTGACCTATTAATAGATGTGCTTCTCTTGACAACAGGGGAGTCCTCCCTGGGCTGTTTTTAGAATAAGAGTCTCCAAAGACTCTGCTATTCACAAATATACCACATTGATATCAATTAGTTTTAAACCCAAGAGAGAGTTGATTCAGGCCTGGTACAGTGGCTCACGCCTGTAATCCCAGCACTTTGAGAGGCCACGGCAGGTGGATCACCTAAGGTCGGGAGTTTGAGACCAGCCTGATCAACCTGGAGAAACCCCGTCTCTACTAAAAATACAAAATTAGCTGGGTGTGGTGGCGCATGCCTGTAATCCCAGCTATTCCAGAGCCTGAGAAAGGAGAATCTCTTGAACCCAGGAAGCAGAGGTTGCGGTGAGCTGAGATCACACCACTGCACCCCAGCCTGGGCAACAAGAGTGAAACTACGTCTCAAAAAAAAAAAAAATTGATTCATTTATAAAGGGTATTTAGAGCAGATTCTGTTAACTCTTAATAACCTCAAACATCACTAGCCATGTTCCACCTTTCATTTTTTCCAGGGTCTGTGTAGAGCAACCTAGGCAAGAGAGTAGATGTGTCATGAGAAAAACAGAACATTCCAGGGAGTGGAGTGCATGACAAACTGTTTATGAATATTCTTCATTCACTGCCAGCTACTGATGCTGCATTCCAATATAACTCAAAACAGAGTCTTAGGTAATAAAGGTAACTCATAATCATAAAATATTTTGCATTTCTAACACGTTACAGGTCAGAATGCTGCTAAGTCACAAAAAACCATACATTTCTTCACCCTCTACACTCGTCTTTTTTAAAAAGATGCTGCTTTTCACAGGGTGAATGTAGAGAGGAAATATAATTTTGTTTACTGTTATGTTTTTATTTCATTCTCATAGTTAAATACAAAATTTGAATCAGCTTATCAAAATACTGCATACATTTAACCTGTAGGAATTTTACATGTTATAGTACTGATGCGTTTTTGTTGGTTGGCAGGTGCGGAAAGGTGCTTGGCCTTGTTGTTGTTATGTTGGTAATGTTATTTGATGTGTGATTGGCATAAAGTTTTACTGGTTCATGACCCCTGACAAATGCCTCAGGGACACTTTATTCAAATAAAGAGATTCCCTTTGTTGGATGAGATTTCCCTCAATTCTCTTTTTAAGTTTCTATGATTTTTAAAACACATGTGACATAAAAAAGACAAATTTAAAAACTGACTAGATTTAGAACACACGGAGGTCAATTTTGCATATCATGTAGCACCTATAAAGTCATGTTACATCAAAGGGCAGCATTGGAATCTACCTGGAAATCAATAGTTACAACCCCTAAGAAAGGACTTCCCTTGGCCAAATAGGAAAGGGTAAAGTAGGGCAAGAAGAAGAGTTTAAATATTTTCTCTTCGAAGCCTATTTAATTACATTGTTTTATAAACCAATTCTATTTTGAAAGCTTCTCTCTAAAAATTACTACTGAACAGACAGTTACAGTATCATCTGTTGCCTGCTGCTTGTAATTTACAAGTGATTGCTACATGTAAATTGTATAATTAATCAGCCTTAAAGAGAAGGGATGACTGTGTCCTCCATTCAAATGCAAAGCTAACTTTTGGTGTTGGCACTTTCTAGTTTTGCAGTTTAGGCTGATGTGAGTGTTTAGCAGCCACATGTATACCAGCTGCTACTTCAAGGAGTGCCACTCTAAGTCTTCCGAATGTGGGCGGCTGATTCCTTCAGGAATGACACCAGGTGAGCCTCAACATCTTAATATATTTCATCCTCGGTCACATTCATAGGCAAGGAAATGTCTTCCCACTGTCAGAGAAAGGCAGCCTCTTCTGGAGAAGGACAGACACTCAGCGGATGCAAAGCCCGGTTGTGCAACACCAGGAAAATGTATATCCCAGTAATTCAAGTTCTGAATGGACAGTCTACTCTTTTTGAGTGTCCCTAGCATTTAATTTATAATCATAATTTTTAAAAGATGATTTCCGAACCATGAAAATTCACTTGATAGCTAAAGACAGACTGAGGTATAATTCAGCTCTTGATGGAGAACAATCCATTTAGGCCCTGAAATTTTTTCAAAAACTTAGCTAAGGAACTCTGAGGATGAGTCAACACTGCAGATCTGGAACCTGGTATTTAGGTGTCCTTACCGCCAAAGGTGTCTCCAACCTGGTATTTAGTTTCTCTGAATCACATACCTTCTAATTCCCATTCCCCAACATATTTAGTGATTTTCTTGACTTAAACTCTTAGAGAAAGCTAAAAATACAAATAACACATGACAACACAGCCATTATATTCTTCTCAGCATTCTCTTTCCAACTTTACAATTTATCTGTTAATAATAGTATACGCATATAAATAATTTAAAAAACAAAAACACAAGTTGATCCACTTTAATTTATTATTACATTTGGTCTATATCTGGACTCTATTTGACCCGATAAGAATTGAGAAGTTCTAGTACCAATCACAAAATAAATGAGAGTGTAACAGAAAGCATTATGACAGAATTCATAGAGTAAGGAAGAGTTATTTTACCAACTTTTATATAGGTGACGTCCCTGCTTTTGACTGAACTTGAACTCTGGTCTCTGTGAAACCTATTTGTTTTGGCTGAAAGTTGGAATCTAGCTAATGTCAATGTTAGCTTTACCATTAGTCAAGAATGAAGCTTAATATTGAATTTTATAGTAAACTGAGAGGATTCACTTGCCTGCTTATTTTCTATGGGTGTCATCCACACATTTGAAATGTAGCTAGGGATTTTGTTAATTTAGTAAAAATTATGTTGCAGAAGCAGCTGTTTATTTGCTTTTCATAACCTATGATATCAGTCCAATGCATCTGTCTTGATTTGGAAGGTCTGATGCACTCTGAGGGGGACTCTGATGTGAGAATAGGCTATACCCAAAGCAGCTGTAGTCTATGCTGTGCCCATTTCCTTCAGTGTCCTAAAGGTAAATGTGTGTGTGCAAATAAAAGAAGGTCCCTCTCCTTTACAATCAGGAGTCAAGTCAAAAGACACTGATTTCAATTTCATCTTTAAATGTTTAACAGTTATTATCTCTGAATAGTAACTCCATGGGGGCAAGAAGTCTGTTTTCCTCACTGCTATATCCCTAGCACCTACTAGTCTGCCTTGCAAAACACAAGTAGCAGTGAAAATATTTTTTGAGTCCTTGTTGGTGAGTTGTGTTCTGTGTGCATTTCTCATGCCACTTAGAATGGCGATCATGAAAAAATCTGGAGACAACAGATGCTGGAGAGGATGTGGAGAAACAGGAATACTTTTACACTGTTGGTGGGAGTGTAAATTTGTTCAACCATTGTGGAAGACAGTGGGGCGATTCCTCAAGGAACTAGGAATAGAAATTCCATTTGACCCAGCAATCCCATTACTGGGTATATATCCAAAGATTATAAATCGTTCTACTATAAGGACACATGAACATGAATGTTCATTGCAGCACTGTTCACAATAGCAAAGACCTGGAACCAACCCAAATGCCCATCAATGATAGACTGGACAAAGAAAATGTGGCACATATACACCATGGAATACTATGCAGCCATAAAAAATGATGAGTTTGTGTCCTTTGTAAGGACATGAATGAATCTGGAAACCGTCATTCTCAGCAAACTGACACAAGAACAGAAAATCAAACACCGCATGTTCTCACTCATAGGCAGGTATTGAACAATGAGAACAAATGGACACAGGGAGGGGAGCATCACACACTGGGATCTGTTGGGGGGGACTAGGGGAGGGGCAGCAGGGGGTAAGGAGGTTGGGGAGGGATAACATGGGGAGAAATGCCAGATATAGGTGATGGGGTGATGATGGCAGCAAACCACATTGCCATATATGTACCTATGCAACAATCCTGCATGATCTGCACATGTACCCCAAAACCTAAAGTACAATAAAATATATATATGTATATATATAAAAATTAGGGCATCTTGGACCCTTTTCACAAGATGGCGCCGAAAGCGAAGAAGGAAGCTCCTGCCCCTCCTAAAGCCGAAGCCAAAGCGAAGGCTTTAAAGGCCAAGAAGGCAGTGTTGAAAGGTGTCCACAGCCACAAAAAAAAGAAGATCCGCACGTCACCCACCTTCCGGCGGCCCAAGACACTGCGACTCCGGAGGCAGCCCAAATATCCTTGGAAGAGCGCCCCCAGGAGAAACAAACTGGACCACTATGCTATCATCAAGTTTCCGCTGACCACTGAGTCTGCCATGAAGAAGATAGAAGACAATAACACACTTGTGTTCATTGTGGATGTTAAAGCCAACAAGCACCAGATCAAACAGGCTGTGAAGAAGCTCTATGACATTGATGTGGCCAAGGTCAACACCCTGATTCGGCCTGATGGAGAGAAGAAGGCATATGTTCGACTGGCTCCTGATTACGATGCTTTGGATGTTGCCAACAAAATTGGGATCATCTAAACTGAGTCCAGCTGGCTAATTCTAAATATATGTATATCTTTTCACCATACACATGCCTCTCTGTCAATTTCTGGTTGGGTGGGAGGCCATACACAGGAACTGTTGTTGTAACTTGCCCACTGCTTGGGCAAGACTCCTGTTCTGCTTATCCTTTTGAAACTCACCCTGCCACTCACTCCTCCATCCTTGATCATTCCACAGATCTTTGTGACTAGCGTTAGTGTCCTAGGAAAACCAGAACTCAGAGCTTGTCTCCATGGTTGAGGGTAACAAAAAGCTTTACAAGAACCCCTTTCATCCCTCGAAGAGGCTGTGTGTGAAACCAGTGCCCAGAGTTTGAAGCACGTTAGCATCCATTTCAGAGGAGTGTGGGTTGGCTGGCTTTCCAGTAGCATTTTGTCCTCACACACCCATTCGCTATGTCCAACCGGTCTGTCTGCTTCCCTCACCCCTTGCCCAATAAAGGACAAGGACTTCAAAAAAAAAAAAAATTAGGGCATCTTAACATATTTCTCTTAAAATAAACTAAGGTGCCCACTATTTCAGAGGCACATGTAGCTTTAAAAAATAAAAAAAATTTGTAAAGACATGATAAATTATTTATAATAAAATTAGCCAGGTAATATTTTAAAATTCCAATAAAAGGTTTAGAAGAAGATAAAATAAAATGTTATCCATTGAAAAAAAAAATTAAAGTAGTGCCATATGCACTGCCATGCCAAAAAATGAAAAAGATTGTGTAGTATAAACTTGTTTTCATTTAAAATTATATACACATATGTGTATACTTAGAAAAATAAAAATAAATTTACTCCTGCATTAAAAGAAAAAAATTTATTACCGATATTTATAAAAATGAAAAGAATGCTATTTTATAATGCTTAATACTCTTTCTTAATATTCTCATATAAATAAACTTCTTTTCCTTATATGAGCAATTTGTCTATTAGTCTACCCAGAAATTATAATTTTGAAAATTTGAGAGAAATAGGAAATGTCTGATTGTTTCCTGGTACTGCCTACTTTTACAACCACTGCCTGCAAACATTTTATAAATTCAACCTGTTCCATGAGGAATTGATAAATTCACCATGATAAAAACTGGGCCTGTTGACACTGTGCACAGCTTCTCCTGCCAGGCCTGAGTGTTCAAGGTCAGTGACTGGGCTGATGTGATAGAATTTCCTTCACGATAAGATAAAAAAGCCAGAATCTGTTGTCTTTAGAAGACAGGGGCACTTGCTTGTCTTGCTTAATGGGTCTTAGGGGGTCAGGTCCACATGGACATCTCTATTCAGAAAGATGGACTCTGCTGGAGCAGCTTCACAAAAACAGGACCTCCTGCAACCAGCATTGCATAAGTTGCATTGACTTAAGCCACTGAGATTTTAGGGATAAAAACAAATTCCCTTTCAATAAGGGAAAAGGAATTTTCATGGTAGGCCAGTAAGTCCTGACTGAATCACCTGAGTGGGCCAATGACTACATCTTTACCTTTGAATGCAGTTGTTTTTTTTTGTTTTTGTTTTTTTTTTGTTTTTTTTTTTATTTTCTGGGTTTATTTCCCCTTGTTCCAAGCTCTAAGCCTCAAGCCTATTTTACTCCACCTCCATAGCCTGCACGGTTTCCTCCACTAGCTCCAGAGTTAGCGGCTTCACTGTCTGGGTCAGGACAGCTGTGGTTCCAGGCACAAAGTGGTAGTGACCAGACCTTTTCACGGGTTCTGTGGGCGAGCTCAGTGTCCTCAGTAGCTTGGCGCCTGACTTCATGATCACACATGCGTCCACATTGCCCCCGGAGCCCAGGTCACCCAAGATTCCTGTGGTGATGGCTTCCACCAGCAGCCCCTGAGCAGCCTCCAGCGTCATGTTCGGCTGGAACCGGTCTTCTAGCACCGCCAGGGCAGCGTCCTGGCCAGAGCCCAGGGCCGTGAAGAGCATACGGCTGTAGGAGCCATGGGGATGTACACCGTAGAGCTGCGGTCCAGTCAGATCTACGCCGCCCACGATCAGCGATGCACCCACGTGGCCCTGGTACCTGCTTGTGGATGGGCGGAGTCGGCCACAAGCGGGTCCCAGGCCTTGACCCTCTATGCCCCACCCGTGGGTGCTATCCCCGCCCCTTCATGTGGCCTGGAGCTCGATAGCTGACATCGCCTCTTCCTGTAACCCAGCTTCCTGAATGCAGTTGTTTTCCTTTAATTTACTGAAAAAAAAATTGCCTTAAGTACTGTTCATACATGTGCAGTCACATTCATGTAATTATCATTATTTAGTTTTCAGACAGCTTTTGACGTACATGTGATCACTCTTCATTCCTGTGCAAGTAGCTCAAATAAATTATGCAATTCATTCATTTGTTCAGCAAGTAATGACTTAACTAGGCATTCTCTAGATGCTGCAAATACAACATTGAACAAAACAGAAAACGTTTTGCCCTCATCGAGCTTAGTGTCCACGGAACTTAGATTCTATGGGTGAAATGAAACATCAGTAAGTGTAATCGGTAGCATTTCAGAAAGTTAAAAGTGCCAGCAACAAAGATAAATCAGGGAAGTGGGAGAGGGAGTGTCAAGGGCAGAGAAGGACTGCCATATTCCTGATATCTATGACAGTGCCTGGCACCAAGTCTTCAGTGAGTGAGGGCCAGAACATACTAACTGCCTTTGTACAAATGCTCGGCTTCCTTGCAGTTTTTCTCTTGGATTAGTCTAATACATCTCTTTATAAGTACACGGCCCTATTTCCTTCATTGCCCAGTAAAGTAGTGGCAGATACTAGCCTTGGAAAATAAACAGATCAGCCTCCACTGGCAATGTTTCTTAGATTCCTTCCCCTTCCACTCACTGCCTACTCCTGTCCTCCAAACTTGTCTTTGCTGCACTCTTGAATATTGGTTCCATTTTTTTTTCCCAAGCTACTCTTGAATCTTTGAACTTAGTGCTGGTAGTTAAACTCCTCAGTTAATTTTCACTCTCCCTTAAGAATATGTCTCATTTCCCAAATTAGAGAAGTCGTTTGGTATCTGCTCACCCAAGCTGTCTTTTCAGATAACTTTTGTCCATTCTAACCCCCAATAGCTAAGCAGCCACATTTTAAACACATAATCCCTTTTCCTTTCTTCCCTCCTCCCACACTCATCCAAGCTTCAGGTAATTACACTAATGTCACCATCTGAGCCTAGTTAATCCTTGGCTTGCTGGTATTGAAAAAAAGATAAGGATCAGGCATGGTGGCTCAGGCCTATAATCCCAGCACTTTGGGGCAGTCGAGGCAGACGGATCACCTGAGTTTGAGACCAACCTGACCAACATAGTGAAACCCCACATCTACTAAAAATACAAAATTAGCTGGGGGTGGTGGCGCATGCATGTAATTCCAGCTACTCAAGAGGCTGAGGCAGGAGAATCGCTTCAACCCGACAGGTGGAGGTTGCAGTGAGCCAAGATCTTGCCATTGCACTCCAGCCTGGGCAATGGGCAACAAGAGAAAAACTCCATCTCAAAAAAAAAAAAAAAAAAAAAGCTTGGACAGCTAAGTTCTCTGTCTCCCAAATTTGAATTAAATTATGCAACCAGACTATACCAGTTGGCGGTATAAATTAGAGCTGAAGGAAAACCACCATGAAGCAGAATTGGGTTCACAGCCAGGCACATGAAATCCAAAAGCATGAAGCAACAGCAGAAAAAGCCTCAGAGCAAAGAAAGGAAAACAAATCTGACACTGGGTGGTGGAGCCAGAAAGAAAAGAAAAGAGAGAAAGAAGGTGGATGAGTGTACTTTATTATTCCCTAGAGTTGTATCACGAGAGCTTTCTAGTTTTAGTTCTAATTATGATACTAAATCAACATATGTCCCTAATGTTTATTAGCTGAGCATTGAAGGACTTCCTACACCAGAGCCTTTGCCCTTCCTGTTCCTTCTGCCCAGAACATTCTCGCACCCTCTTTCCCATTCATCCCTTCAGCAAATAATGGAGACAAAAAGAAACAGCAAGGGCAAAGCCCCTGAGGCTGTGCCTCATGTTTCTGTACTGTTTCCTCCCTGCCTTCCTTCAGGTCTCTGCTTAAATGTCACCTGTGACAGAAGCGTTACAAGTTGATGGTTTAGAAAATGACATCTTGCCCATCACTTTCTCCCTCTGTCTTCATTTTGTTTTATTTTTTTTCATAGCACTATCCCCACTTAACAAATTGTATAGTTATTTTCATGTTGCCCCTGTTTCCCCAAGGAAAAGGTGAACTTGGCAAGACAGAGTAACACTGTCAGATTAACTACTGTATCTCCAATGCCTAGAACAGTATGTAGTAGGGGCTCAATAAATACTCACTTAGTGAACTAATAAATCCAGAGATAGGTGCTAGATAAGATGAAGCTGTGCTGGGTCACAAACAGTTTTTCATGTGAATATAGATAGCAAAGGCATTCTAAGCACAGGAAATAGCTTTAACTAAAGCTCAGAATCAAGAAACAAAATAGTATACAAAGCCACAAAAATATGAATAAATTGGCATAGATATAGCGTAATTGAAATAAGTTGCAGGGACACAGTAATTAGAGACAAGTCTAGATAGATAGGCCAGATTATGCAGTCTTAGATGCCATGCTAAGAAACGTGGGCTTCATCCAGTAGGCAAAGTGCATCCACTGAAATATTTTAAGCATATATTATTAGGACTATATGGTAGGCAAAATTCTAAGATAGTTCCCCAAATTCCCAGCCCAAGTGGCATCCATATTTTCTCTCAGTTATTGAATTTGCAGATGTAATTAAGGTCACAAATCAGTTGACTTTAAGATAGGGAGATTATTCTTGGTGACCCTGACATAATCAGGTGAGTCCTTAAAAGGGGCTCAGCTTTCTTTTCTTTTTTTTTTTTTTTTTTGAGATGGAGTCTTACTCTGTCACCCAAGCTGGAGTGCAGTGGCACAATCTCAGCTCACTGCAACCTCCACCTCACCTCCTGGGTTCAAGTGAGTCTTCTGCTTCAGCCTCCTGAGTAGCTGGGATGCTGGGATTACAGATGTGTGCCACCACACCCAGTTAATTTTTGTGTTTTTAGTAGAGACGGAGTTTCAATATGTTGGCCAGCTGGTCTCAAACTCCTGATCTCAAGTGATCTACCTGCCTTGGCCTCCAAAAGTCCTGGAATTCCGGGTGTGAGCCACTGCACCCAGCCTGAGCTCTCTTGATAAGTTGGATATAAGGACGATTCTCCATTGCTGGCTGGGGCCATGTGCCAAGGAATGGGAATGGCCTGTAAGAAAAGAGAGGGTCCTTGGCTAACAGCCAGCAAGGGAATGGCACCTCAGTCCTACAATGGAAAGAAATTGAATTCTGCCAGCAGCCTGAATGAGCCTGGAAGTGAATCCCAAGTTCCAGATGAGAACACAGTCAAGCAACACCAACCTAGTGAGACCCTGAGCAGAGATCCAGTGACTCTTTGGCTACAGAAATGTGAGCTAACAAATGGGTATTTCTTTATGACACTGTGCTTATGGTAATTTGTTATAGTAGAATAGTAGAATAGAAACACTGCTAGGCTGTGTGGAAGACAGCTTGGAAAGGGTTAAAACTGGAGACAGGGAGTCAGGGAGGAGGGTGTTGCAGTCAACCAGACACAGGAGGAATGCCCAGAATTGCAATGAACATATACCTCTGAAATTCATAGGGGCCTTCCTTCCCTGCTGAAGTGAGCACATCACTGCCTTTGAACTCTACACTTTAAAGCACCCTGTAACTTTGGAGGAAGCTACCTTCCATTGATAGGTTGGCTCCACCAGCTCTAATAAGTCCATTCCCAGCTTTTCCATCTTCCTGCCAACATGCAGTACTGGGTATCAACAAGTTTCCTGTCCAAGACTCCTGAGTTATGAATATCAGCCATGCTTCTCACCAATAGCATCCTTTGGCGGCATGGACACATAGCAATTCTGAACCTTGGCAGCCCATGAAAATGATCTTGAGAGCTTTTAAAAACATGATATCCAGCCCAATCCCTCAGAGATTCTCATTCAACTGGGTCTCAGGCATTGTTTGTTTGTTTGTTCATTTGTTTCAACTCTTTCAGTAATTGTCGTGTATAGTCCTGGTTGGAAACAACTGAAATATAGCCTCAATTTGAAGGTACAAGATTTGGGAAATATTTAATAATAAAATGACATTTTCTCATCTATCTTCAGAATAGCATTATAGAATAGATATTCTCTTTTCTCCTCCCTCTTCTCTTCTTCCTTCTGCTTCCAACTTTCCCAGTAAGGAAACTATCATCATCATTATTATGTAAAATTTGTTAAATTAACATTTTATTATAGAAATGATTTCAAGTAGTTGATGAGGAAACTAACGGTAAAAAAAAAGTTAAATGAATTGCCTCATAATCACATCATTTGTGGGCTAAGCCCAATCTCAAACCATCTTCATGTCCCAAACCCTATGTTTCCTCCACCAACACCATTCCATAAAGAACTGTAAAGAATATCTCTCTCTCTCTCTTATATCAGCCACCATCTATTGAACATGTTCTAGATACTGTCAAGTATGTTTTAGATTTCATTTGATTCTCACATTGATGTTATGTGGTGAGAATAAATACTTCCATGGTGATAAAACTGAAATGTGAAGTGGTTAAAGAACTAACTCAGGGTCAGACAACAAGGAAATGATTAATTCAGAATATATGTACTAACCTTCTGATTCCAAGTTCAGTGTTCCTACTGTACTCACTTGATCCTAGAGATGAATGACTCTGGCGAAGGCAAAATATCCTTGGAAAGAACATTCTTCAGCCCAAATAAAATGAAAATAATCCCTACTATTTCTTTACGTTTCTCCCCCACCACTTGGGGTACTCACATAAATCTCCACTTGATTCTAGGACTGCACTTCATGAAAAAGCTTGTTGATGACTACAGTGATCCTAATAAGACACTAATTATTTTCTAAAAAATCATGCGACTATACAGGCACACATTTACACATATGTGAATATGAGTGAGAAACACAAGACATCTATGCCACAGAAAGTGAATCATGATTATTCTAGGAAGTGAGCAACATTTTTCCTTCTTGCTTTCCTTCACTTTCTCTTTTTTCTCCCTCTCCCTCCTCCTCCTCTTCTTCTT